ACAACCATACAGGCAGGACTAGGGACGGCTACACGGGTATCTGCCACTTCAGGCCAAACTTGTGGCGTGATGATAACACATTGTACCAAGTGATCATGAAAGGATTAATATGGTTGGAGGCTTATGAGGCACATCTTCGCACTGGGCAACCCTTGAGTCAATATTTGGGTGAGATGCGCAAGTAATAAAGCCAAACCCGGAAATTTAGAGCTTGATTAATACACTTTGAGCGGAATCCAATTAGGGCTTTTTCTAGTTTATAAAGAGTCTTAAAATATTTTAGTTTTTTGATATAACGTTTCCTTGGTTTGTCCCCATCTCAAAGGATCTTTTGTAAACGGTACGAGATTTCATTGCTACATTTTCAAAGTAACTATTTTTTAAACTTAGTTTCTAGCTTAGTGGAACTTAAAACTAAGGAATGAATGCATTTCCAATTTGAATTGCATGTTTTCGTTTTGAAAATATTATCTTTCCGTAATCTTCATTTCATCTCTTAGAGCTCGAGGAAGAGGTAACACATGCCAGTCTTTTTTCTATCTTCACTCGAGACAGTCCTTTGTATATATTGTAGTGTGCCTGTTAAATTTAATATGAAAATAANCACACAGCAGAAAAGGCTCGGGTTTGAGAAAGGACTCCTGGAAGGATACTTCGGTAACAGAATTACATGGATTGATCCCGGAGACCAAACGAAAGTCGAAGTTCAAGTAACAAGCTCCAGTGACAAGCCATACACTCTAAGGGTGTACCTTCCTGCCGACTTTCCCAATTCTTGTCCTGACATGGTCGTGAAGACATCATCAAGGTTGAGGGCACATAATGGATGGTATCTAGAGAATTATCCAGGCGACAACCATACAGGCAGGACTAGGGACGGCTACACGGGTATCTGCCACTTCAGGCCAAACTTGTGGCGTGATGATAACACATTGTACCAAGTGATCATGAAAGGATTAATATGGTTGGAGGCTTATGAGGCACATCTTCGCACTGGGCAACCCTTGAGTCAATATTTGGGTGAGATGCGCAAGTAATAAAGCCAAACCCGGAAATTTAGAGCTTGATTAATACACTTTGAACGGAATTCAATTTTGGCTTTTTCTAGTTTATAAAGAGTCTTAAAGTATTTTAGTTTTTTGATATAACGTTTCCTTGGTTTGTCCCCATCTCAAAGGATTTTTTGTAAACGGTGCGAGATTTCATTGCTGCATTTTTAAAGTAACTATTTTTTAACTTTAGTTTCTAGCTTAGTGGAACTTAAAACTAAGGAATGAATGCATTTCCAATTTGAATTGCGTGTTTTCGTTTTGAAAATATTATCTTTCCGTAATATTCATTTCATCTCTTAGAGCTCGAGGAAGAGGTAACACATGCCAGTCTTTTTTCTATCTTCACTCGAGACAGTCCTTTGTATATATTGTAGTGAGCCTGTTAAATTTAATATGAAAATAAAAACAAGCAAACAGACAAACAAGGGAAGGGGCTGTAATTTCTTAGAAAAAGAGGAAGTTTAATGACCAATGTTATTGTGAACTGCTATCGATGTTAGTTTGATCTTTGGTAATGTACCTTCACATGTCCAAATTAAAACGCTATTCAGGGAGGATAAACCCCTCAGTTTTGCATATTTTAGGGGTAAGAGCTGCGTAGAGTAAGAAAAGAAATTAGCCTGACTACATAAGTAGAAACCGTGAGTTCTTGTTAATTTTATTTTGTTCTAAGCCAAGCCAACACGAGCGAACGGGGCTCAGCTTGGATCCTTTGG